AATCACCGTAAGGGGTGGTTTGACTCTCCCTGCACTGGCGTGGCTGAATAACAATGTTTGATTGGTCCATTCATTTTCTCAGGGTCCCACTGAAGAGGCGCGCATTGACAACTCATCAATTATGTTGTTTTTATATTATATTATTTTATTTCATTTATCTTCACGAATGATCAGCATGGTCCAATGGTGAGAATGATGGGTGTTAAGGCATTACAAGGTGCAAGGGCAGGGGTTCGATCCCTTCCTCTTGCATATTATTTTTCTAAGCCTAAACTTGTTCCAAACATGTTCCCATCTTAATCTCTGCGAGCTTATTATTTTCTGTTTTATTATTTTTCAATTTATTGTAACTGTTTCCCTGTTTGTAATAGTTTTAATTAGGTTTAAAATTCCACATTTTTATTTTTTTTTCTTTCTTGTGCTATTTATGTAATTTCCCCAAAGCCTTGTTATAGCTTAGTAATTTTATCTTCCGCAATCTATTTTCTGTATTAACTATTTAACTTAATAGGATTGCATGAAAAAAGACTAAAATTAAAACGATTAGATAATCCAAAATGCGCAAGATAATATATCTGAGTCAAGCACACTTGCACATGCTCATCCCTAGGGTATCTCCTACTTCGGTTGCCTTCAGAACGATCACAATTCTCGAAAAGTGAGAATTTTTAGTGACTGTCCTTTAGTTTAAGAGATCACAAGTCCCTCGATGACCCTTTCGACTGTTGCCTCGGTGAAAAAAGTGATCTTAGAACTTTAGGACAGTTACTAAGAGTTCTTTCCCAGTTGCCTTAGTGACCATAAACGTCCCTTTGATAGTCCCTCAAAATCCAACGATAGAGCTACCACTCACTAATAGTAGGATAATACTATCTAAAGGAAAGGAGGAAAATAACGCCTTTTTCGAGTAGGTAGATAGCTGCTAAGTACTTGCTCAAAACTAATTCCTTTTTACACCACACTTTCAAAACCTTTTCAAAAATGCTTTATCACACTCTTGAGGACTAATTCAAGAGTCATCATAAAGAAAACGACACTTTTTAAAGCACACACAAAAACAATTTAAACAAATGAGCAAGTACCTAAGGGACCGTGGAAAACCACTGATGGAAAGGGTGCTAACACCTTCCCTTTACATAATCTACCTCTTTACTCAGAAAATCTCGAAAAAGGTCTTTTTCTGTTCTTTTCACCCTTTTCATAATTTGGATAAAAGAAAAGTTGGTGGCGACTCTTGCTTACCGCACATTTGTGAATACAAAATGCAAAACCAGTATAACAGTCGGTTCTGCCACCGTATCACAGCTGGTAATACTAGCACAAACACCTTCAGACTTATTTATAGAGATTTCTTGAGGAACAAAATTTTTACTCAATAACTTCATCAAATCTTACGGTGTGCCTCAAAATCTCGAAGCAAGGATAAAATGTAAATCTTAGTTGGAGTCTGACTTACTGATCAATGATACGGTAGTCACTTTTCTTGATATACCTCATTACTTCCTCCACATCTTTAGCTATATCCAGACTTTGAGTCTGTCTGGAGTACTCTGTGCGGGCCTTTGATTTTCCCCCATCGCTTGTTTTCCCTAAACCTTTTCCAAAGAATTAGCATCATCTTGCATGATGTGGGGACCAAACACCCTACCACTTCTCGTCATATAACCAATACTGGAAAATTTGTCAATGTTTGCACTGTCATTCTCAATAGGCTTCTATTCTGAAGGCTTTCCTCATTATCACCACATGTTAATCGACATTGGCACCATAATTCCAAAGAATAGCATTTTCACTGGTATAAGGCACTCGACCAGGTAATGTAATTGTTAAATGAATTATTCTAGAAGGAGCAGGAATGCTCGCTGGAGTGTATGTGATAGAAATCACCGCAATATCCTTCTTGATAAACAGCAACTAAGTAGTCACCAAATTCACGTCCATGATCAAGTATGACACTTCACAACTATCATCAATAGCATTAACTAAAACACCTTTATGTGTATGCATTGGAGGTTGAACAACATTGGGACCGTTGTTGGATCAACGTAAATACCACAACTCAAAAGCACATTCCCAAAGAAACTCACTTATTTCAACCAAAACTCACACTTAGAAAGCTTAGGATACATTTTCTTCTCCTTCAACACACATAACACAATCCTCAATTGCTCGTCATGATCCTGTTCACTCTTAGAATAGATCAAAATATCATCAATGAACATAACAACTTACTTATCCAGATACTCGTGAAAAATCCGGTTCATATATTCCATAAATACACCAGGTGCATTGGTCACACCAAACGTCATAACAAAATAGACATAATGACCATACCTTGTCCTAAAAGAAATCTTATGAATATCTTCAGCCTTCACCTGAATATGATGATACCCAGACCTCAAATCAATCTTACTGAACACACTTGCACAAACCAACTCGTCCACCAAATCATCAATCCTCGAAAGTAGATATTTGTTCTTAATAGTCACCTTGTTCAGTTGTCGATAATCAATATACAACCTCATAGAACCTTATTTCTTTTTACTTGACAAAACAGGTGCACCTCACGACGACACACTCAGACGAATAAACTTCTTCTCAAGTAAATCCTCAAGTTGACTCTTTAACTCTTTCAACTCAAAAGCTAACATTCGATATGGAGCCATTGAAACAGGACTAGTTCTGGGAATTAAGTCGATTGTAAACTCAAATTCAGTCTCTGCCGGTAAATCACTTACATCTTTGGGAAATACCTCATGAAAATCACAAACAATAGGAAGCTCACCCTTAGTTCTCTTCTCACCGAGATCCAATGTTTCCAATAAAGCAAATTACATAACACCATCTTACACCGACTCATCCACTTGCTTAGCAGACAAAAACAAATCCCTCTTGACACCAGGATCAAAAAAGATAATTGTCTTATCAAAACAATTGATATAAACATGATTGTACTCCAACCAATTCATACCAATAATCACATCAAGTTGATCTAATGGAATACAAACTAAATCAATCCCAAATTCTCTATGAAAGACACTTTATGGACAATTCAAACAAACAACAGAAGTAGTCACTAAATCTATAGCAGGGGTATCAACAACCATACTTCCATGCATTATAGACTTCTTGATCTCAAGTCTCAAACCATCCACTTTACATACTATTATGTTGCCATGACAAGCTTATCCTGCCCAACACGATCCCGTCTACTATCAACAAGAGATTAAGGGTGATCAATTGCTCAATTTGTAAATAGGTAGTGGACAACCATAATAGAGCATAAACTATCGTTACAAAACCATGATAGTGTTTCTCTTGTGCTTAAAGTCGCCTAAAACACCATTGTCCAAATCTTCACACTATAAACATCTCAGGGAAGTAAAGCTTCTCCCCCACATGTTTTAAACCCACTCCTGCAACCAAGTAGCTAAAAAAACAAGCAAGTACCACTTATTTCACACACATGTCACATACTAAGGAATGAATAGATAAACAAAGCTACCTAAACAAGCATGTCACTACCGACAGTGTTTCACACACATGTCACTATTTAAACAAGCAAATAAATCAAGCTAGTCCTCAACTATCCTCGTGCAAAGCACCACTATCTTCGGTACTTGTGCGATGTCGTATAAAACATCATTCCAACACAAGGGTGAGAATTCACATTATTAAAAAATATATAATATAAACAATGTATAAAAAACACATACATCCAAGGAATTTATTACACTTCATATAATTATCTATATAACATGGATTTACCATTCTAAGTACCAAAACAATTATATCCAAACATTACATGTATACTAAGTAGAACCATTCACACAATCATCGCATATAGCACAATTTAACCAAAGTAACATCAATGTAACAATAAATTTAATTATCACATATATTACAAACATCACCAATGTCGCGAGCAAACCAATTATCTCATACATTACACATAAAATCAAAACATCACATAACAATAAATTTGACTCCAATACAACTCAATGTGACTCGTGCATGTGGTACCATCATGAACATCAAGCTCACCTTGCTCTCAATTCCATATCTAGAATCAGAGCAATGCTTCTGATTCGGACAAGATCAAAGCCCATCATTATGAACATATAGTCTACCGTTTCTATTTCCACACAAGGATCAAAGAAACCATCATTTTAAACATATAGTCCACTTCTTCTATTTCCATACAAGGATCAAAGCAACCATCATTATGAACATATAGTCCACAACTTCTATTTCCACACAAGGATCAAATTAACCAACCAGAGTTCAATATCCCTATGTATGTATGTGCAAACATGAAAATCAAGATTATCACCAAACCTTAATCATACCGCATATCACAATAATCAATCAAAATGAATTATCCCACCATTGCAAAAAACATACATTTATCATGTTATCATTACCAACAATGCAATTATTTAGCATTCACTAGTCATATATATCACGAATAACATTTAGTAACAACACTAACACATGTTATTCATATTTCACAAATTCATGACATACATATACACATATACGTGTCACTTTACCAAATAACACAATGATACAATCAGCCAAGTCCAATTAAACTATTTCTATCTTAAAGGTTATTGTGTTAGCTGCATAATGCTTCAAACATCGCCTAAAATGGAGTTACGATTCAAAAGTTTTGACCGTTAGAAAAATCTATCAAAAATAATGGGTGCCACTCGTGTCTGCTTAGTTCGACCAATGAGTAGACTAAGACTCTGTTGGTCACCTATGCGTCCACCCATACCTTTTTGCGTCTATGCATAGTTGTTTGACAGAGAGACTTTTCCTCGCATATATGCTTTGGTCTATGCCTCGATGTTTAACAAAAGAACTCTTAAACGAATGGGTTTATTGAGACAAGGGTTTAACATTTTGTGACTGTTCATCTTCGTGAGATAACACAAAAATCCTTCTCTCCTTCTTCAACTTGACAGTGGCTCAGATCAACTCTCTCTTCTCCAGCGATGAACGCCAGCGCCACCACCATATCTCATCTCTATTTAGATCTCAAATCATCTTCTCTTAACATGGCACGGTCCCGCAAGAGTTTGATCTTCTTCGGCTCAAGCTTCACTCACGCGACTCCATCGATCTTCTCTCAAATCTCTCCACCTAGACTTCTCCTTCGCCATAGCTTCGGTCTCATCTCCGATATCAATTCGTTCTCACCTCCGTGATGCTCCGTCGATTTCACTATTCCGATTTAATTCAAGAAATATTTCTTTATTTCGAACACCAACTCAGGCAGTATAGAACGAATAACAGATGTTTACCTGCTAGTGAAAATGTACGGCGCTTCTTTTATTCAGGTACGACTTCATTCTCAATTTTTCTTCTAAATTCGAACTTCTTCTACATTCTTCTTCGTGAGGAATTCTGTGAAGATCTTGTTCTTCCTTCTTCTGACTCTCTACTTGTATCAAGTTGTAGTTTCGACGGAGTGCTTTTATTGTGATGTCATTAAGATGTGGAGAAACTTTCGCGGATTTGTTACAGCATTGAAGAGAATTGAAGGCTCGTTGATGATGATGTTGAGATGTTGTTGAGTAATGAAGAATGGATGATGACGACGTTGATAATTGTTGAATTTCTATGGATTGAAGGATGGTGAAGATGAAGATGAGATGAGATAAGAGAGTTTCTGATTCTTCAGATAATTAAAGAATGAACGATGAAAGGTGATTCTTCAAGTGATTTTTTTGTGGTGATTCTTCAAGTGATTGAAGAATGAATCTTGAATTCATGTAATTTTATGTTATATCTTTCTGTTAGAACGTGATAGTTTGTTAGGAAAAATTAGTTACAACTTGATTCAATCTTGGCCTTAGATCATGAAATTTTGTTACAAGGATTGGAGGGTAAGGATTGCATATGAGTTTTAGCTTGCTTTAGAAGTTTTGTTGAGCTGTAATTTTTGTTTTTGATTTAATCCCCTGATTTCGTGAGCTGGAAATTCTAAGCTGATATTTTTTGTTGCAATTCCTGATTTTCTGAGGTTCCGTGATTTCATTCCTATTTTGTAAATTTTCTGATTTTTATATTATAGTCTTGTGCAGGTTTTATTGAGTTTGCAAGTGAACTGTGATAGGGATGTCAATGGGGCGGGGCGGGGCCGGGGGGACACTTCCCCATCTTTTTCCCCGCCATCAAATTCATTCCCCGTCCCCGTCCCCGATCTCCGTCACGGGGGAATTTCTATCCCCATCCCCGTTCCCCGCGGATCCCCGTTCCCCGCGGGGATCCCCATCCCCATTAATATTTACATTTCTCTCTCTTAATAAATACATGAATATTTATTTATTTATTTTTATAAATAAACATAAAGGAAATGACTAAAAAACCTAATCTAAAATATATATATTAAATTAACTATATTAAAATAATAGGCGGGCCGGGGTCCCCGCGGGGCGGGGGGTGTATTCCCCGTCCCCGTCCCCGAAATGCTCTCGGGGGAATTTTTCTCCCCATCCCCGCCCCCACGGGGGAAAATTCCCCATCTTTGGGGCCCCGAACGGGGCGTTCCCCGCGGGGATCCCCATTAACAGGTCCAAACTGACATCCCTAAACTGTGAGCAGGTTGGGAATGTTAGAGGTTTTTTTAATCTGATATTTTTGTAAAGTTTTGTTATACTTAAGAATTTTTATTTCATTTACACATCAAGCCCAATCTGCCCTGGTTTTCCTGATTTGCTTGCTTCTTCTATGAACATGACTGCAACTCATTTTCAGTTTGGAACCATTTTTCTTTATTGAACTACTGCAGGGAGGTTCTTCGAAAGTTACAGTTTTTTGCATGATTTGTTTTTTTCAAGAATGGATGACGGACCATTTTGATGGTGTATGCAGGTTTACTTCGCATGATAGGTATGTAGCAGCTCTGACTAGAGCAGCAAAATTGGTGATCTTATGATGCAAGTTATCCAGGCTTATTTGTGAGAGGAATAATTTTGTGTAGGGGATGGTTTGGATTTCCTTTGATTCTTTTTGTACAAGTTATGCCCAAAGTGAACAAGGGCATGTATGATGGCAAGTCATGAGAAGTAGTCTTATGGAATTTTATATTGTAATGACAATGATTTGAAGTTGTAATGATAATGTAACTTTGTAAACTCTTGCATGACAAATTCCCAATTATTCAAAACATTCCTCTCTTTCAATTTGAACTTGAATAATACTTGGATGAACTTGAGAGAACCATGATAACCACTTGAATGTTATTAAATGAATCTTTTTATATTTTACCTTGGGATGAACAATGATATGGAATAATCTTGAAAGTGAAAACTTGAATCATGAAGAAATTTACTTGATGCCATATACTTTAATCTCAACTTATATTCATATGCCATCTTCCTCCACAAGAACTTGTGAACTAAACCGTCGTTCCCGCTATTTTTGAATCAAGTTGACCCTTAACCCGTGTTTGAAACCAAGGTTCTTGAACAAATTTCCAAATGATAGCTTTTACCAATTATTCACAGTGCCTTGAATGTCAAGCAACAAAACCCTCAACCAAAGTATCTTGAAAAATGACACCGATAATCTTAATTGCCTGATTATGGAAAAGATGAATTCAATTTAACAATGCCATAGACATTTACCTTGACCAAATGATAAGCACACACATATGAGGAGATATCTTGATTCAAAGACCATGTATATCAGGTCACACTGTTGAGTTCTTGACAAAAAAACCCGAGCAGATAAAAATAAACCTATTCAACACTTTCTACTTGTAGAACCACAAGAATCAGATTTATTTGGTGTATACACCTCAAAACCAATAGAAACCCTGCTTACACGATCATTGATCTTTTGAACCTCAGGCGCTTTATTTATGCTATGCAAATGACCTAATAAAAAGATTCCAACATGATGCTAAGCCTAAGACAAATAAAATAAATAAGGATGGCAAATATTTGGGGTACATTTCCATGCAAACTCAAAACCTTCTCAATATATAACCTAGTAAACCTTTCCATCGGATAATCCATTCTAATCGGAAAAAAGTGAGCAGATTTTGTCAACCTATCCATAATAACCCAAACCACATCATGTTACTCGGAGTCCTTGGAAAACCCGAAACAAAATCCATAGAAATGCTATCCCAGTTCAACTCAAGAATTGATAACGGTTGCAACAACCCGGATGGTTTCTGATGTTCAATCTTAGAATTCTGACAAATCAAACAAGAATACACAAACTCTACAATATCTTTCTTCATACCAGACCACCAAAATAACTTCATAATATCTTGATACATCTTAGTAGCTCCAGGATGAATACTTAAACCACTACGATGTCCTTTACCAAGAATTCTTTTCTTCAAATATCCCAGATCTGGAACACAAACTCTATCACAACACCTCATGATACCATTCTCATCAATCCGAAAATCACCACCTCGACCTTGATTGATTAACTTTAATCGATAAACTAAACTCAAATTAGATTTCTGACCTTCTCGAATTTCATCAAGAATACCACTAGTAAGCTTTAACATACCAAGCTTAACACCAAAAGAAGTCTCTACACAAATAAAACTCATATCTTGAAATTGCTCAAGCAAATCCAACTCTTGCACCATCAACATCGACTAATGCAAGGACTTCATACTTAAAGCATCAGCTACAACATTCGCTTTACCCGGATGGCAGTTCAAACCAAAATCACAGTCCTTCAAGAATTCCAACCATCTTCTTTGCCTCATATTAAACTATTTCTAATCAAAAAGATGCTTCAAACTCTTGTGATCACTAAACACATGAAAACTTGATCAAAATAAATAATGCTTACAAAGTTTCAAAACAAACACAACAACACCCAACTCTAAATCATGTGTCAGATAATTACTCTCATGAACTTTAAGTTGTATTGAAGAATAAGCCACAACTTTATGATTTTGCATCAACACACCTTCTAAACCCATCAATGAAGCATCAAAGTACACCACCAATGGTTTTTCCGAATCAGGCAAAATCAAAATAGTAGCCGTTGTCAACCTTCTCTTAAGCTCTTGAAAACTAGCTTCACACTGCGAAGTCCAAATAAAAGCCTGACCCTTCCTAGTCAATTGCGTCAAAGGTAATACCATTTTATAAAAACCATCAATGAACTTCCGATAATAACCAGCCTAACCAAGAAAACTTCTAATCTCAGAAACAGATTTTGGAGCTTCCCTTTGATATACAACCTCAATCTTTTCCAGATCAACATAAATATCACCAGTCGAAATCACATGCCCAAGGAAACTCACTTCTTTCAACCAAAACTCATACTTAGAAATCTTAGCGTACAACAGCTTCTCCTTCAACACAGATAATACAATCTTCAAATGCTTAGCATGACCCTCTTCACTCTTAGATCATATCAAAATATCATCAATGAACACAACAACAAACATATCCAGATACTCATGAAAAATCCAGTTCATATATTCCATAAATACACTAGGTTCATTGGTCACACCGAACGACATAATAAAATACTCATGATGCCCATACCTTGTCCTAAAAGCACTCTTCTGAATATATTCAGCCTTCACACGAATATAATGATACCCATACCTCAAATCAATCTTACTGAACACACTTGCACCAACTAACTTGTCCATCAAATCATCAACTCTCAGTAGTTGATACTTGTTCTTAATATTCACCTTGTTCAATTGTCTATAATCTACACACAACCTCATAAAACCATCTTTCCTCTTAACTAACAAAACAGGTGCAGCCACGGTGACACACTCAAAAGAATAAACTTCTTCTCAAGTAAATCCTCAAATTGACTCTTCAACTTTTTCAACTCAAAAGCTGACATCCGATATGCAGCCATCGAAACACGATTAGTTCCAAGAATTAAATCGATTGTAAACTCCACTTCACGCTCTGGAAGTAAATCACTTACATCTTTAGGAAATACCTCAGGAAAATCACGAACAATAGGCAGCTAACCCTTAGTTCGCTTCTTACCGAGATCCAACGTTGCCAACAAAGCAAACAACACAACACCATCTTGCACTGACTCATCCACTTGCTTAGTAGACAAAAACAAATCCCTCTCAACACCAGGATCAAGAAAGATAATCGTCTAATTGAAATAGTTGATATAAACATGATTGTACTCCATCCAATTCATACCAAGAATCACATCAATTTGATTTAACGGAAGACAAACT